TACCCCCACCACGCAACGGAGATACCGTAAAATCTCGTGAAATCCACTATCTCCGTTGTGTGGTCGGGGTAGGCTAGTAGGGGTTAAGCGAGGTTACACCACGGGGTGAGTGAAGAGCCATGATCCCGAGACAGTGTCTCAGTACGAGTCAATATAAAACCTTCAGCCGTTTAGTAAACTGTTAGCTGTAAACTCTACTCGTATTATGAGCCTAGCAGAAGGATGTCGCAACAATAAGTCTTCTGTAAATACGAATCGTGAGTTTTAAACAGTGAGGATGACTAGAAAGCAAGAGTTACTGGTACTATAATATGGGGAATAGAGAGGCAAACGGCAATGTATCTAGTCAATATACACAGCTTTGGTCTACGAATTCGTTCTTTTTACCCAGATTTTATTGAAAGCAAATGTCTTCCCAATCACAGCCGTCAATCAAAGTCCGTCGAGGCCCCAAACCTAAGCCAATTAGCCAAAGAATACTGCGCCAAAAAGACCTAAAGCCCATACAATTTCCCGAACGTACCTATAGTCGGCACCAGAAAGTCAGAGTTCTGCTCTTTCTGGAGCATTATAAAATTCCAATCCGAAACTCACCAAATAAGCGACCCCCAACCCAGCAGGAAGCGGCTGACCTCTATAATATCCCACAGCGTACGATTAGCGACTGGGTACGAAATAAGAGATTAATCGAACGAGTGGTTATTAACTCACTTGCGGGGATGCGAGAGCAGGGAGGGCTAAGCCACTGCTGGTGGCCGGAGCTGGAGGAGAATCTTTATAAAGACTTTATAGAGTGGAGGGAGCAAGGGAGAATTGTGCGGAGAGGGTGGTTTAGAGTACAAGCAGGATTTCGATTTCGGGAGCTCTATCCCAGGGTGAATCCTGCTGTATTTGGATTTAGTGATGGATGGTTTCGTGGTTTCCTAGCACGACATAAAATTAGCCTCCGCAGTATAACGAAAAAAGTTCAAAAGATTCCAGCAGAATATCAATCGCTTGTCATCAATTGGTTACGCTTCAACCGCCGGAATTCACAGCCCCGGAGTGAGTTTTTTTTTGACATCGCTTTATGTCATTCGGTCGGCCGCTTCGATCTTTCGAACATCTGTAATCTCGATGAGACCCCTATCCCATTCGAGTATTTAGATGGGAAAACTTATAGTTTGACCGGTGAGAAGACAATTTGGGCCAAGTCTTCTCAGAGTGGATGGGACAAGAGACAAGCGTCACTTGTACTTTGCGTCTTTGCCGATGGAGTTTCCAGGGTACTCCCTATGGTGATATTTCGGGGAAAGGGAGCCAGGTTGGGCAATGAGCGAGAGTTTTATCACCAAGGAATTGAAGTTATTTTTAATGACAAAGCTTATATGAACGATACAGTTTTTTTAAACTACATTGAAGAGTTTTTAGTTCCTGTGCTTGAAGGAAAACCAAGTCTCTTATCGCTTGATCTCATGGGATCACATAAAACTCCTACTGTCCTCGAAAAATTAAAATCCCACCATATTCTCCCCTCCTTAATCCCCGGAGGGTGTACCAGCCTCGTACAGCCACTAGATGTGGCAATCAACAAACCTTTCAAGGAAATCATGCGCGAGCTTACGGATGAGGCAATTTTCTCAGCTGAAAGTGCGGAAACCTTTCACAAATGGAGTGTACGCGATCGCCGTATCCTAACAACTACATGTGTGGGGGATGCATACTACCGCTTTCATCTTGAAAAAGCTGACATCATCC